AAGATGCAGGCACCAGAATCAAATACAGTGAAAACAGGGGTCATACCATGCGGGAAGACAATGCAAAAGAAACAAAAAAAATCACATACTACATTATAAGTACATTAAAAACAACAGGAAGGAAGATAAAATCTCTTCTGTCCCTATCTTGGAGTTCATTTTGCTTAGCATGAGCAGTAATAGTAGACCTTTCACAGTGATATGAGCCATACCATAAAACTTCAGTGAAGCAGAAATGAGAGGTTGACCTGCCCCAAATGCTCCTCCTGTGCCTCAACCAGCTACCACAGTTTCTCACATGCAACCTGGCTCTGAACACTCTTGCAAGCTTTAGATTGAACTTTCTTCAAATGATCCTCTGTATCTCCATCTCTTTTCTTCCTCTGCTCCAGAAACATGGCCATGGCCATGAATCTTCTGATATGAAGGCATACTTTGGTATTCACACAGTAAAACTTAAGCCAGCCATGATTCTCCAAGCAGGAATTGTTTTGATACAGGAAATGAGTCTCATCACTAGCTTCCTAACTCCTGAGGTAACCAGTGAAGTTGGAACTAGGAGTATGGGATTCTCTGATTTCATGAAGCTGCCCTAGGGTCTGCATAATCCTGTGATTCTCTACCTTGTTAAAAAAAAAAAAAAAGCTATGGGAGGCTGCTGATTGCTGATGCTCTCACCTGCCCCAGCAACCTCTCCAGGTGATGCTGTAGGCCTCAGAACTGAGGCGTCAGCCTGCTTATGTCAATAAATACCAAGGTCTTTCCTGTTTTTCAAATATAATGAAAGGACCCCATGTGATGCAACTTTCAGGAAACCAGAGCTGGGATAAGGATTTTAAAAATGGGCTTCCACAAGCAATCCTAATGATCATAATGATGGATTGAGATACCTGACAATCCAGAATTGTTTCTTTTCCCAAACTCTTAGAAATATTCCACCTAAGTGCAGGCCCTAGAATTCACTTCCATTTGCTTCTAAGTTTTGTCTGGAGATCTGGGATCATAGGGAAAAAAAACTTTATTATGTTTTTGGGGAAACTACTAGAAGTTGGGAATTGTGTTGTTCATGATGCTACACAGCAGCAATAAGCAATTGAAAGAACTTTCTTATTTTTATTTTCTATTTTTTCCCCAGTCATGTGGCTTGAACTCTGTGCCTGGGTGCTATCTCTGAGCTCCATTTGCTTGAGGCTAGTGCTCTACCACTTGAGACACAACACCACTTCCAACCTTTTATGTGATGAACTGAAGATAAGAGTCTTACAGAATTTCCTGCACTGGCTGGCTTTGAACCATGATCCTCAGATCTCAGCTTCCTGTGTAGCTATGATTACAGGTGTGAGGCTCCAGTGCTCAGCAAAAGATTATTTGTTTGCTTGCTTGCTTGTTTGTTTAATTTGCTGGTCCTGAGGCTTGAACTCTTGGCCTGAGTACTGTCCTAGAGTTCCTTTTATCAGGGCTATCAGTCTACCACTTGAGTCATATCACCACCCCAGAAAGAACTTTCTTAATAAATACCACAATGTATAAAAATGGAAAACATATAACTTAGTTTAAAAATTATTTTCCTGGGCTGGGAATGTGGTTTAGTGGTAGAGTGCTTGCCTCATATTCGTTTGATTCCTCAATATGACATACACAGAAAAAGCCAGAAGTGGCACTGTGGCTCAAGTGGGAGAATGCTAGCCTTGAGCAAAAGAAACTCAGGGACAATGCCCAGACCATGAGTTCAAGCCACAGGACTGCCAAAAAAAATTATTTTCCTGATGTATGACAATGACTCAATCCTGGATTCCTAGCTACACAGGAGGTTGAAATCTGAGGATGAAGATTTGAAGCAAGCTGGGCAAGAAAGCCTGTGACACACTCATTTCCAAATAACTACTAAAAACTCAGAAGTGGCGATTGGCTAAAAGGGTAGAGTGCTAGACTTGAGCAAAAATGAAGATCAGAGACAGCATCCAGACCCTGAGTTCACACCCTAGTACTGGCACAAATACATGTGCGTATACCCACACACACACACACACATACACACACATACACACACACACACACACACACACACACATACTTATTTGCCTACTGATATTCAGAAACATTTACATTTGATGCAGTCCCATGTGCATGGGTTCAATTCCTCAGCATCACAATCGCAAAAAGGAAAAAACCAGAAGTGATGCTGTGGCTCAAGTGGTAGAGTGCTAGCCTTGAGCTGAAGAGCTGAGGGAAAACACCCAGGCCCAGAGTTCAGGCCCCCTGACCATACCCCCCCCCCAAAAAAAGACAGTATTCATCTCCAACTGTGAGTAGTACTATCAAATGGCACAAAGGTGACAACATGTGAGAGGTTTCTGATTAGGAGAATGTGCAGTCTATTTAGATTCTAGGGATAGAAGACATATAAAATTTCCGTGGTAGCAAATTTGTGAGCCATTATTGAGGAACTAGAGTGAAATTTGGCCAATCAAGAAATCTAAAAACAACAGATGCTGGAGGGGATGTGGCCAAAAGAGAGCATTACTACACTGTTGATGGGAGTGAAAACTTGTTCAACCACTCTGGAAAACAGTATGGAGTTTGCTCCAAATACTCCACATAGAGCTCCCCAATAAGCCAGTAATCACACTTTTAGGTATTTGCCCAAACAAGCACAAACAAGGCCATACTAAAGCAACCAGCACAACTATGTTTATCACAGCACAATTTACCATAGCTAAGATATGGAACCAACCCAGATATCCCTCAGTAGATAAATGGATCAAGAAAATGTGATATATATATATATATATATATATATATATATATATATATATATATATATATACACAATGGAGTTCTGTGCTTCCATCAGAAATAATGACCTTGCCCCATTTATAAGGAAATGAAAAGACTTGGGAAAAATCATATTAAGTGAAGTAAAACAGGCCCAAAGAAACCTAGCTCCATGGTTTCTCCCACTTGTGATAATTAGTGTATGTCTCAGATAGTCCTAGAAGAGAATCACAATAGCTCAATAATTATGTACATAGGATGCTAAGTGAGGCTGGGCAGGTGGCTCAGTGGTAGAGTGCTTCCCTTGCATGCATGAAGTTCGATTCCTCAGCACCACATAAGCAGAAAAAGCCGGAAGTGGCACTGTGGCTCAAGTGTTAGAGTGGTAGCCTTGAGCTGAAGAGCTGAGGGACAGTGCCCAGGCCCAGAGTTCAGGCCTCATGGCCGACAAAACAAGAACAACAAAAAAGATGATCCTAAGTGAAATGTACTCCATGATATGGAAACAAGGGGTTTTTCTTTGTTGTTGTTTTGGTTCTTAATATACTATGTGAAGTTATTTCTTTTTCTGGCATTTTTCTCTTTTTCCCCCTATGGTTTGATTTTGGTACCGTGTATCATATATGCATTTATCTGAATTAGCCAAGGAGCAGGGAGCAACAAAATGGTGAGATAAAGGACAAAAGGTGAACCAACACAACAGCAATATTCACAAGACAACAGGGGATATGGGGAGGAGTGAAAGTGGGAGAAAAACTAGAGAGGGAGTGACAATGTTTGACAAGAAGTGCACTCACTACCTTGCATATATAACTGTAACCCCTCTGTACATCACCTTGACAAAAAAATTAAATTTAAAAATAACTTGCTTCAACTTACATGGTAATGGTCATAACTAAAATTACCACAAAATACTTTTCAATAGGTTCAGTATGTTTCATATTGTCCTTTAAAGAAATTAAACAGCTTGACATCTGTGCCTCATGCTTGTAATTCTAGCTACTCAGTAGGCTGAGATCTAAGGAGTACAATTTGAAGCCAGCCCAGACAGTTAAGTCCATGAGATTCGTATTTCCAATTAATCATGCAAAATCTAGCAATGGACCTGTGGCTCAAGTGGTATAGCAGAGTGGTAGCCTTGAGCACAAAATTTGAGGGACAGTATTCAGGTCTTGAGTTCATGTTCCTACACACATACACACAGAAATGAAACATTTTAATTTTAGTCAGGTGTCGATGGCTAATACCTGTCATCCTAACTACTCATGAGTGTGAGGTCTTAGAATGGCTCTTCAAAGACAGCCTGCACAAGAAATTTCATGAGATTCTTTTTTTCTAATTAACCACCAAAAAACCAGAAACAGAAATGTGGCTCATGTGGTAGAGGATTACCTTGAGAGAAAAAGCTAAGAGACAGAATCCAGACCCTGTGTTCAAGCCCCAAGTACAAAAACTAAATGAAAATCAAAGAAAGAAAGAACTGAAATAGGAAAGAAAAGAAGAACAAAAGAAAGAGAGTGAGAGTGAGATAGATAAAAGCAGGAGGGAGAGATGAAAAAGGAAGAAAGAAAAAAGAAAGAAAGAAAGAAAGAGAGAGAGAGAAGGGAGAGAAGGGAGGGATGAAGGGAGAGAAGGAAGGAGGGAAGGAAAGAAGGAAGGAAGGAAGGAAAGAAGGAAGGAAAGGAAAGGAAGGAAGGAAGGACAGAAGGAATGAAGAAAGAAAGAAAGAAAGAAAGATAGAAAGAAAGAAAGAAAGAAAGAAAGAAAGAAAGAAAGAAAGAAAGAAAGAGAAAGAAAGAAAGAAAAGAAAGAAAGAGAAAGAAAGACAGAAAGACAAAGGAAGAAATATAATAATTTTCAAAGTATAAGCACTTGGTAAAAAGAACACAAGATGATTTTTTTCCAGTAAGAATTATTGAGTGAATTAAAGATCTAAAAAGACACAAGACTATGGTCCAATATATTTTTGAAATATGCTGTTATACCAGTTGCTTCTGGGCATTATACATTTTGAAAATAATCTTAAAAATGTCTTCTACAGTCAAAAGATCACCAGTGAGAAACATATGCTCTGCAGACAAATTTATATTTCTTTGAATGGTCTGGGACATCTGTGGAGGTAAGGCCTGTGATGAGAGAGGAGCCAATCCTGCAGCTGAGCCCGCCCTCCCACCCTGCTGATTTGCATGTGCCCATAGCTCAGCCTACTGCCCAGAACAGTGGACTGCTCTTAAAGGTTGTTTACACCTTGTGTGGAAGTCAGTCCCAGTCAGCACACAGCATGGACATGAGGGTCCCTGCGAAGCTCCTGGGGCTCCTCCTGCTCTGGCTCCCAGGTAAGGAAGGGCAGTACTGGGATTAACTCAGCTTTGTGCATCAGGGCTGTGGCACGTCAGGAAATTCCTCTTTTAACATGATTATCAAGATAGATATTTGTGTTTATGTTTCCACTGCCAGGTGCCAAATGTGACATCCAGATGACCCAGACTCCATCCTCCCTGTCTGCATCTCCAGGAAACACAGTCACCATCAATTGCAGGGCCAGTCAGGGCATTAGCAGTTGGTTAGCCTGGTTTCAGCAGAAACCAGGGAAAGCTCCTAAGCGGCTGATATATAGAGCATCCAATTTAGAATCAGGTGTCCCATCCAGGTTCAGTGGCAGTGGATCTGGGACAGATTACTCTCTTACTATCAGCAGCCTGCAGCCTGAAGATTTTGCCACTTATTACTGTATGCAGTATGATGTGTTTCCTCCCACAGTGATACAAGTCATAGCATAAACCTCCCAAGGAACCAGAAGTGAGAGGCTGGGCTGCCCCAGCTGCTCCTCCTTGTGCCTCCAACTGTTGACAGCGTTTCTCAGATGCAACTAGATTCTGAAGGTCATTTGAAGATGTTGGTCAAAGTAGCTTGGCAGAATTCTCTCTACTCTAACTCTCTGCAGCAGTATAAACATGCTAATGCCTCACCTGATGCAATAGATGACACAACTCACAGCATGGGAGGAGTCTGCAAGAGCATTAATTGGGGTTCATTTGGAAAGTGGAGACACGCTAGTTAATCCAAGCAGAAATAAATTGTAAGAAATAAATTAATTTACTTTTTAGTCCTCAAAATATTTGTACAGATTTCTTCTTCAATTCTCAATTTAATTTTTTATTTCTTGTTTTATAGCATTTGGAGGAGGACATCCTGTATAATTTTGTAAGTGAGGGAGTGATAGTAACCTTTCAGCATTTAATATCACTGATAAGAAATAATGTGAAATATTTCACCACTGAGTATAATATTTGTCATAGATTTTTACGTATGCTTTAAACCACTAAAGAATTTTCCCATTAGTTCTGTCTTCCTTAGACATGAGTAGCTTTTGAATTATCATGAATAGCTGTTGACTTTTAGAAATATTCTCAACTACTGTACTAATATTACCTTGTTTCTAATCTTGATAGAGTGGTGAATTATATGGCTTAACAGATTATTTTAAAATCACATATTTTGAAAATGGCTTTCCATTTGTGTAGTATATTTAACTTGCTCAAAAATGGAGTCTTTGAGAGAAGGAGGAGGAGGTAAACATGGAGGAAGAAGTGGAGGAGGAGAATAAGATGAATTTCTCCTTTAATATGACAAATTTGAACAATGTGAGGAAGAGAAAAGATGAAGTTCTTTTCATCTATAGTCACAAAGATAGGGTATAAAGATAATTGTGGAATTTAAATGATATTAATAAAGTTTTATGAAGGTGAATAAAACAGATGGAAAGAAATGATGACCTGAGCCACCGACAAGATGGGAAGTGCTGCTCCAACTCCACATGGAGATGACCTTGGAGAAAGCATGGCCATTGTGGTCCACAATGCTGCAAGAACAAGATTTGTTGATGCACAGCTATCCCATTTGGGGAAATGATATAATTTATCCTAACCTCAAACATAACTGTACAAGGCAAAACTCAAATGAGATGAGTGGAAAGTGTCTTTTTCCCACTTCCTATGGTACCCCTGTCTTGTCAGTTACAATGGAAAATGTTTAATTTTCCATGGAATAAATGGAAGCATACCTTTATTATATTTGAAAAATAAAATATTTTCAGGGTTAAATGTTTTATCCTCATTTATTTGCAATCTCCCAACACCCTCTTAATTGTGAAAGAGGAACTGTAACCTCAAAAACCATGAACAAAAATAGGACTTTGTTTTCATAACTGGTGTTTAGTCATCTTAACAGAAGCTAAGAAGAACAGTGAAGTAACCACAATAACTATTACCTTTTATTTTTCTTTCTCTTTCTATTTATTTATTTTATTATCTGTCAGTAGTTGTATAAGGGAGTTTATAAACTTAGCATGTAAGTTTATCGGTACGTTTTGATCAATGTCACCCATTTCATAATTCTCCCTATCTCACTCCACTCATCCTCTCAATTCACTGTTTCATTTTGATTCTTATTTTCCAATACATTTTTTCTCACAAATTTCTTTTATACTTACATCTGTTAGGGCTGGTTCCTGTGGCTTGTGACACCTGATTCACACATCAGCTATATTCAAGATAATACAATTCAGTGATCAGAATATTCCAGAATCCACCAGCATAACGACCATGAATAGGGAATAGGAATCTTCTCAAAGATTCATCCCAAACCAATTGATGACAGTCACCAAGAAATACATGGATAATTCTTCATGAAGATTCACTAACATCTCTTAGGTTTATGCTCCTCTTGGCCCTCTGCCGTCTGCATTGAAAAAAAATTTACTAGTGCAAGAGTTAAGCAGTGTAGTCCCCAACTCAAAACAACCTTCATGACATCTAGCAACTTCAACAAGAAAATTTGTTCCTTAATTCTGAAAATCTTTCAGGACCACCACTGGGTAGGTAAAGAGTAGAAAGATTCATCACAGTGACACTGTATACTAATTGAACAATTTGGGGACTCTGAAAAATCTTACTGAATGAATTAACAGTCCCATTTTAATTTCCCTTGAAAAGAATATCTGCCTACTCAGGGCTATATACCCCTGGATAACTGTGCTGAAAGAAGGCCAGAGCGCTCCATGTTTTAAACACAAAGCAAATATATTTATTTGCTGGCATATTAGAGGTGAGGTGCCAGAAGAAGAGAAAATCAAAGATGACTGCTGCATCTGCTTGGACCTGGGAAACCAGAAAATTTAGAATATTTCTGGGAAAGGGTAGAACAACAGAAAGCAAATTTGGAAAACAGATAGAAATCAGGACTTCAAGAGGAAACCATTCGAATTTTGTGATCTCTGACTGCAAATGTTCCTTAAGTGGCTGTGAATGTGAAATTCTTAAGGACAAAGAAGAAGTCAGAAATAGAGGTCCAAAGCTCAGACACAGAGCAATCCTTAGGCAACATTGTACATAGATGAAAGCCTGCTGGACCCTGGAGGGAGTCCACTATTTAGAAGTCAAAAGGACAGGGGACAGGAATTGAACTATGAGTCATGTTTCAGAACCAGGACGCTGATTGAAAAACATCTTTTCAATTTTGAAATGTAACATCAATGTGTTAAATGAAGAGAAATTTTTTCATAGTATCTCTAGAGTTAGCTCTAGAGGCTGAGAGTTGAAAATCAACAGTTTGGAGCCAGTCTTGGCAGACAAATCTAAAAATCTCTTATCTCCAAACAACCAGGGAAAAAGGGATAAGTGGAGGCAAGGCTCAGGTGTTAGAATGCCAGTCCTGAACTGAAAAGCCAAGTGAGAGCTGAGCAATAAGATGTCTTCAGTTGAATGCCAGCGCAGGTAAGGTGTGTGGGGGTGGTGGGACGTTGGCCCTTGCTGCCCCTTCAATGTCTAGGGAGGATTATTGTTCATCCTCTTTCCTCTTTCAAAAATGCCTTCAATATTCCGTCTTCCACAACTCATTTTGTACAGTAACTTCAGAACTGCATTCAAAAACTCGAGTATAAAGTCTTTGAAGAACTTTTCCTACCATTTTTATATTTAAAGGCCACTCAGAGCTTTTGCCTAGCTCATTCACCTTGATTTCTAGTACTCTACCCAACATTCCAATCCACTCTCCCACACACCTCCTTCAACCTATAGTCACAGGCTATACCTGCTCTGTACATGGCAGCACCTCTGCTGTCTGGTACTCCAGGCTTTTCATTGAAAGTTTATCCCACAGCTGTCAATCTAGCCAGTAACTAGACACAGTGCCAGAAAGACAGCCAAACAAAAGGCTCAGAATTAAATTAGAGTTCAAATACTGTAGAACCACGGTACAAAACAGTCCCAACTGACATTTTTGCCTTGTTTTGTTGGTTTTGCTTGCTCCTTTACTTGTACTGGAACCCACTATATACCTTAGGGTGCCCTTGAACTTGAGATCTTCCTGAGTGCTGATATTAGAGTTTGAACTAGCCTCAAAGCCCTTAATGACATTTCCTCAGTAACTAAATACAATCCTATAGTATATGCAAAGAAAATGTCCAGCTCCAATGTGGCGCTGTGACTGTCCTGTGTTGGACTTGTTGGAACTCTTAATTTCCCAATTTTCCTCTTCAAGTCACAGAAACTGTGGTAAATTACTACATAAAGGGGCTTCTTACTGAGTTTTACTCTAAGAACTGTCAATGCAAAAGGATCTAAGAAACGTGTATGTGCCTCTTCACTTTCTGTTGGGCACTGCAAGTTTTCTTGCCCAGAAGTCAGGGCACACAGATTCTCAGGAAGATGGAAGAAGTGCACAAGTCCAGGGCTGTGTGGGGTGCACTCAGCTGGACAGACTCTGAAAGATAGAAATTAAAGACTCAGGAGTATTATACTCCTTTTCTTGGCTCTAATAGAAATAATCCAATTTCTGACCTCCTTTAGCTCAGACATGCTGTCACATTCTTAGCTTTGTGCACACTTATCAATCATGACCCAGACTTCCACCATCATCTCCTTTCTCTGGCATTCCTTACTCAACACTATAAGGAACCTTGGGATGACTTCAGCCTCACTCAGACAATGCAAGCAATTCATCCTATTTTAACAAACATGTTTAACCCAATCATATCTCCAAAATCATTTTGGATAAACATGGCATAATTCATAGGCTAAAGATATTTGACCACGGATTTCTCTTGAGGAGTAGATGGCATTCACATCTAAAAACAATTACTATACAACAGACAAGGGTCTCATATCTAAAATATACTTAGAACTCAAAAAATTAAATCCCCCAGCAACAAATCCTCAAAGAAACAACTGCCCCATTAATAAGTGGGCTAAAGACAGCAGAGTTTCTGTGACGTACAGGGCAGTTTCTTAGAATCTTGTGACTATAGTTGTTGAATAGGTGTGTGGGAGGGTGGATTTAAATACTGAGGAGAGCAGTAGAAATCAAGACTGATATACTAGGCAAAAGTTCTGAGTGGCCTTGTTTTTTATATATGAAAATGATGGGACAAGTTCTTGACAAATACTCTGAATTTTGAAAGCAATTCTGAAGTTGTTGTGCTAAATGACTTGTAGAAGGCAAAATATTCAAGGTATTTTGAAAGAGTAAGGATGATGAACTATAATCCGCCTTAGACTTTGAGGTTCATGATACTGACCAGCAGGAGGCAACAAGGGCCACCATCCCACCACCTCACAACCCCTCCCTGTGCTGGGTTCAACTGAAGATGTGTGTGTGTGTGTGTGTGTGTATATATATATATATATATATATATATATATATATATATATAGTAAAAATACTGTATAGAAGGGTTACAGTTACATAGGAAGGGTAATGAGTACATTTTCTATCGAGCATTATTACTTCCTCCTTTGTCTCTTCCTTCCTCACCTCCCTAACTCCTCCTTGCCCCCCAAATTGTAAAGTTCTTTTCAACATAGTGTCTTATACATCTCATTCCTACAATGGGTAAACTTGTGTCCTTATTTAAGCATTTTGTTATATCCCTTCCCCTCCCCAAATTAGAAAAACGAATATATAAGATACAGGACACCCGAATCAGATACAGTGAAAACAGTGGTTATACCATGGGGAAAGAACATACAAAAGAAACAAAAGAATTACATAGGGTGTTATAAGTACTTTAAAAACAATAGCAGGAAAGACAAAAAGCACTTGTGTCCCTGTCTTAGGGTTCATTTCACTCAACATCATCTTATATGGTCATATTACATAGCTTTTGACCTTTTTTGCTTGTCCTAGACATTTATTAGTGATTGCAGATAAGGGAAACCGTGGGACCTATGTTTCTTTGGGCCTGGCTTACTTCACTTAATATAATTTTTTCCAAGTCTTACCATTTCCTAACAAATGGGGTGATGTCATTCTTTCTGATGTAGGCATAGAATTCATATAAACACACACACACACACACACACACACACACACACACACACACACACACACACACACATACATGTCACCTTTTCTTGATCCATTCGTCTACTGAGAGGTATCTGGGTTGGTTCCACATCTTAATTATGGTGAATAATGCTGTTTGTGATCATTTGGGTAATAGCCCAAAAGTGGGATTGCTGGGTCATGAGGGAGTCTATGTGGAGTCTTTTGAGGAATCTCCTTACTGCTTTCCAAAGTGATTGAACAAGTTTACTCACCAACAAGGCAATAGGGGTTCCCTTTTGGCCACATATCCTTCAGTATCTGTTGTTATTACATTTCTTGATTAGCTAGCAAGATCAATAGAAAGCCCACGGACTGGGAGAAGATCTTCACTACCCATACAACAGACAAGGATCTCATATCTAAAATATACTTCAAACTCAAAAAATTAAATCCCCCAACAACAAATCCTCAAAGAAACAACTGCCTGATTAATAAGTGGGCTAAAGATTTAAAGAGAGGTTTCTCTAAAGAGGAAATAAGAATGGCCATTAGACACTTGAAGAAATGCTCAACCTCTCTAGACATAAAAGAAATGCAAATCAAGACAACATTGAGATTCTACCTCACCCCTGTTAGAATGGCTATAATCAACTGATGACCACTTGTTGGTCAGCTCTCACTTGGCTTTTCAGTTCAGGACTGACACTCCACCACCTGAAACAT